AAAAATATCCATTTGGTTAGGGACCTAAAATAAAGAATTCACAAAATGGGTGCCCAAGGTGGTAAACAGGCTTCAGACACGGAACTACAGAATGTAAGAACACTTTTTTTGTTTTTTAAAATTTTTTTTATTGCCAAGCATACAATTCCTGGTAAGAAATCATGGACCTGAGACATGAAAGAATCATTTTTGGTAGAAGAATGTGTTTTATGTCTGGAGGTAGTATCAGTGTGGGGCAAATTAATGTTTGAAAAGGACACCTCAAGGAGAGAGACAAAGTAAATCAGAAAGAATTGTTGAGTAAGCTGAAGAGAGATGCAGTAATATGGAGATTTATTTCTTCCAGCAGAAAAAATAACCATCACAGTTTTCAGTAAGGACAAACAAACAAGTGTACAGAAAATAATTTGAGAACGTCAGCTCCATATACTTTATCTTGTCCCACATAGTGCAGCTGTATTGAAACAGTCCAGTTAAATATTCAAACTGTGGAGTTTTGAGGCTTTATGAGGGGTGTTTGGTTGTTGTTTTGGATTCTTTGTCCCTTAATCAGTAATACTGCCAAAAAGGAGTCATAATTTGTATGTTATTGAGTAAAAAAAAAAAAAAAAAATCTGCAGTCAAAATGGCCAACTTGGCCTTTATAAACATTTATTTATGAAACCAAAAACACTTTCCAAAATAGAGTTTAAAGAACAATTTCAATACATCTTTCACCAGTGTACACCATCTGATAGTTTCAGCAACATCTGAGATGGTGGGTGTCAAAACCTTGTTTCTATGGAGACTTGACTCAGAAGACCCTGTGAAGTTTTATTGGAGACAGTGGAAACCCAATTATGCTGAAAAGGAAGCCCTTCATTAGCAGTGACTCATTGAAAATGGTTATCAGCACATCAAGAGGTAAAATGAACAGGCTTTTGTGAAATTAAAAATGGCCCTGCTGTCCACACCGTCCTTGAGGAAACTAGATATGACCAGACTGTCTGCCAAAATGGTTGATGAGGGGGGGGTTATAAATGGGTTTTTGTGTTTACAAGCAGAGAGGATGCACGGACAGCCTCAAGGCAGAAAATGTTCCGTTCAGCACAATTGCTCTGACAAATCTTTTGTTTGAATTCAGCAGTTTAACTTCGTTGTCTTCAAAAATGACTTTATGGAACAATAAAGCCCTATCATGTGGACAAATGTCCTATGTTTCAGGTGTTGTTTTTTGGAGAAAATTGTGGGTTGTGTTTGCCATGAAAAGTTCTGGAGAAACCTAATGTATATACTCGCGAGAGTTCACAGGCAACCTATTTGCTAGAGGCAGTTCATTATGTCCCATGTGGCCATATGAATAAGTTCAAAAACTATGATGCTCACTTAAAAAACAATCCTTTCTACCTTGAAGCTGCGCGCGCACCTCAACTGTCACGTGGTTGGCAAGCCCATCTGTATGACTTCAGTCCTCCTGCAAGTGGACAGGGGGAAACAGAGGCCCGTCTCAGCTAAAGTAGATGCAGTACACAAGTGCAGCTGGTCTTACTCCCACTGGCACAGTGTGAAGTTATCAGTGCAGATATGTGTGACCTTCAGAGCAAAGTAATAAAGGAGGGGAAAAAAAAAACTGTGGGAAAAGGTGGGGGTGAGCTTACAGGCAGGGGTGTGGTGAGGACCTGATGGAATCTGTGCTTTCTGAAGTACCTGTTTCCGGTTTATGCTAAATTGACGCACGGTATTGATCATACGTCAAAAAGGGGGAGGGGCGCAGACTTAAAGAGGTATCGGTACTTCTCCAATTACTCCAAAAGTTTTGAGAAGAGAGTGTGATTTGTGCAGCAATGTTGGAGGAGGACAGCAGACACCAGTAAACACTCATCCTCCACCAAACAGACCATTCAAACACCCATAAATTGATTTCATTGAACTGAATCATAGCAAAGGGGAGATGTATTGTCTGGTAATGGTGCACATGTATTCAAAATAGGTGGAAGCTTATCCCAGAGATAAAGCTGATACAGGCACAGTAGCAAAGGCGATAGTGAGGGAAACGATCCCCAGAGGGTATATACCACAGAAAATCAGCAGTGACAATGGGTCCCATTTTGTAAATTCGGTTTTGAAAGCAATAGGTTAATACATTGAAGTAGATGTGAAAATTCACCATGCCCACAACCCTGCAAGTGGAGGTGCGATAGAGTGCGGAAATGACAATGAAAATGACACTGAAAACTTAATTATCTAAACACTGTACATAAACAAAACTTAGTTTGACGAATGCCCTCCCTTCAGTGTGAGTGCACAAGAGCAAGAATCAGGAGTAGAAGTAGCCTTAGCCCATTTCAAATCCTGTACAGGAGGCCACTAATTACAGTAATGAAGCCTCAATGGTGGCAGTTATCTTATACTGATCAGTGTGCAGATGAACTTCAGTATTATTAAGAAAACCTCTCATCTGTGTTTTGTGACATTCATAAGCAGGTGAAAACAGCCCTGTCTCGAGAGGCACAGACCAGACTTCACAGCCTGCAGTCAGGAGACTAGGTGGTGGTGAAAGACTTGAGGAGGAAGACGTGGAGGTCCCCGAGGTGGCCAGGACCATACTTGGTGCTCCTGAAGACAGCATCGGAACTGAAGGCAGCTGAAAGAGGGGCGTTTTACCTTCGAGAGAAGAACCCCAACAGAACCGTGGAGAACAGGAGGCGAATAGAGCAATGAGGTCTGGGTCATACAAGCCGTGGCGTCCCCTTAGAACAATGTGGTGGGGAATGTGGTGTGGAGTGTGTGTGCTGATGGGGACCTTTGCTGAGGAGAACGCAAACATGCGCACAATCGACGACGCCCTTCGAAAACTGAAGGCACTGAGTGACGCTCAATCAAGGGACATCGAGTTGAACAAGGACATTGAAATTTGGCTTTTAAGATTGCTTCTGGTCGGTTTGCCAGTGATTGTAGTGTTTTTAGTGGTGTGGTCTTGTGTGACCTATGTAGTACCTGGGCTGCAATCCCTTGTCGAGGAATGGATTATAAATATGATGGGTCAGTATTCTGCAGCTGATCCAGACAACTCTGCAGGAGAAGGAAAGGGGGGCCTGGAATCTAGCTGGGTTCCTCCGTACAGTGACTGCCAAGAGTTACCAATGGTGTAAAATAATGCTATTTTCCTTTATTATGAGCATAGAGGTGCTCAGAGGAGAGAATTGCTGCAGAAAATACAATTATAATCATTCTTACATTGCAATTATAATGATTATCTGATTGAACACATGACATTAATTATTCTCTGATTAAATAAATATACAGTATCATCTATTTAAATCGAATGTATAATGTTTCCTGAATTACATGTGTACTCTTTCCCTATGTTGTATTCATAACAATTTTATTTGTAATCTTATCTAGGTTGCATGTATGGTTATTTTCTAGCTGAAGAACTGTTCGAGTGGAAAGCTGTGGAGAGCTTATCTCACAGAGAGATGGGTATGCTGTCCATATACAGCGTCCTTTCCTGAGAGGAAGCCGTAAGATAAGTTGTCTCCACATTCCAAGTTGTTTAGACAAGGACTCCCTTTTCATGAAAAGCTGAAGACAATTTACTACCTGTATCTAGCACTCCCCCAATCCCTTCTCATGCAAGTAATTCAGATGTGATCATGTGACCAGTGCATGGAGATGTGTTCCGGCCAATTGGGACCACATGTAGTGGGTCTAGGATCCTCTCAACCAAGGATATGTGAAGCGCCCAGCCCTCAGAAGGAAGTGGCTTGTGCTGCCGAAGACTTGGTAACTGGACCTGTGTGTACCCTGCTCGCAATTGCGTATATTTTACAATAAATTTCTGTAAAAGACTCTCTCTGTTTTGTTATTTGATAAAGATCACCCAAGTAGCCATAACAAGGGATAAGTCATCATCTTTTCATACTTGGTTGAATTAACCTCGGGTTTAAAAGCCTTGGGCTAAGAAATGGGGTTTCACAGCTGAAATACTGGCACTGCAGTTGGCCACATAAATGGTGATGCTAAGCAATGGTCCCAGGCACCAGGAAGAAGGCAGGAACAAAATTATCACCACTGAGCACTCTCAGCTGACTAACTACATCAAATGTGAACCGATGACGTGCAAATTGCATCTAAATATTATATGACGCGGCAACTGTGTCACTTGACACCATGGTAAGTCGCGATTGGGTTATTCTGGGGTTCGTGAACTCCCAATTCTCACCCCAGGGCTGTTCTTTGATCTTTGCATGTACACGTGGGGAGGCCGACTGGGACACGCATGTAGTACATGCACTCGGGCAATCCATGTTCACACACACAGGAGTATGAACACAACTTGTGTGCAGATGCGCTGTCATGTTTGCTTATGTACGCATGGCCAGCTTTTCAGCTGGAGAGTATTCCCCGGATGGTCCCCTTCTGTTGCCGGTGTTAATTGCGAATGGTCATCGGCATTTTTCCGGACTGGGCACCAGCTGTTCTCAGCATGATGCTGGGGCTGCCATTAATTTATGGAGATCTGTGCATTAACTCTCATTTTAACAGTGTTTTACTTTGTAAATGTGAGTAGCTGCATTCGACAAACGTTCACTGGTAACCCGGTTCCACCACGAAAAATGTCCGTTATTGAATAAAAAGTCCGCTGGCCTGAAACGTTACCCATTTGCATTTTTTTTTCCCATTTTGGAAGTCACAATCTTCTCCCAAGGCATGATTCTAATTGTATTTATTATGCAGTGTGTCACTCGAAGAATAGTGTTGTTTGTTTTCTGATGTTTATGGAAAATGGCACAGGGGAGGGGGGGTTAGTTGGAACGCGGGGTATGTTGAAACATACCACTGCCCTGAGGATGCAAAGAATCTATTGAAGACTTTCTGCCATCTTGTGGAAGCCTATCACACTACCCTTCAGTCATATTGGTATCTAGACCATGCTTGAAGTTCACGTGTTAAGAGAGGTTTGTATGTTTTCTGAATCTTAGAGTAAAATTACCCATGAATAAACCCTAATATAGGGCGGCACGGTGGCGTAGTGGTTTGCACTGCCACCTCACAGCAAGAAGGTCGTGGGTTCGAATCCGGCCTGGGGCCTTTGTGTGGAGTTAGCGTGTTCGCATGGGTTTCCGCCGGGTACTCCGGTTTACCCGACCTACAAAAACATGTATCATAGGAACACCACTACCCCTGACCAAGGAACTGGCTTTAGAACTTGAGTTGGTCCCCGGGTGCTGCTCTGTGGCTGCCCACTGCTCCTATTGTTAGGAGCAATAGGATGGGTCAAATGCAGAGGACAAATTACCCCATGGGGTTCAATAAAGTGTATCTATCTTATTGTGTGTTGATTGTTTGGTGGAATATAAACAAAATGGGGCAGCAAATAGTACATTAGCCTGTGCTAATGTGTACACTGTATGTGTTTAGGTGATTATAGCATGGGGCTAGTTGGAACATGTTCCAACAAACCCTGCTGTTCATCACAAGTAGACTGGTACATGTTACTGCGCTTATGCTCAAAACTGATAACATTAAATAGCTTTCTGTTCTTAAATGGGCCTGATCAAAAAGCACAGCCACTAAAAAAAAAAAAAAAACGCTGATTTCTTCTTTATTTCTTAGCAAAATTGTCTTCAATTTTGATGAAGTTCTATATTTTTTAGAATGAATTTAGGAAAAAATAAGTTCATATATTTTATGTCATCAGTATGTTTCATTAAATAGGTAACTAAACTGCTGAGGTCTAATGATTATTTAGTGTCCAACTGCAGGTCAAGACTTGCCTAGGGCATGTAGGGTCACTCAAGAATTATGTGGGTGAGGCACATCCAAATTTTGGTAGTTTAGGGTCCTTGATTATTCCTCAACACATATTTTCATCAGGACCACTCCCAGGGAGAAAAAAAGTGTCAAAATTAGACCATATGTCAAGATAATTCATGATTTTCCCTTCACTAACTTAGGAGTTCCAACTTGCCCCATGGCATGTTCCAACTCACCAACTTGTGATATGAGTCGAGTTGGAACACCTCGACTCATATCACAAAGATTGATTTTTTTTATGAACCTCTTTGAACATTGCTGAACTTTATTGCTGAGATTATTGTACACATAGATATGTATAAAAAATAGCATGCTGTAGAATTTTCAATATAACCATATTTTGAAAATAAGCATTTTTGTGAAATCTGTTCCAACTAGCCCCCCTCTCCCCTACACCTCCACGAGCTGATTTAATTGCAGCATTTGGCGACGGGTTCATCTTTGCAGCTGTATTTAATGTTATTGACTATTGCATGTGCTAATTAATCAAGGCCAATTTCTTAATCTTAATTAAGATCGTTGAAAGCATTTAATTCCATAATTTAGCGTGACACATCATTGCAATACACATTTCTTTACCCTTAGCCTACTCTACAGATAAGTTCAGTTTCAATGACCAGGGACCCAGGATTTTAGTACAACCTAAAAGCTTAGTTGCCTGACATTCTTGGTCTCTCAGATAGCTGTTATATGTTTTTACAGAATTTATCTGCTGTATTAAATGGGATTACGCCTACTTTACATTTTGGAAAAGGGATATACGAAAACTAAGATGATATTAAAAGTCCTTCCATAAATAGAAAATCCATATGTATGTTGTAAACATAAGAAAGTGAACCGTGTCTCATTAAATATGCAGTGATTCAGTGTGTAATTATCAGCACTGAACGCTCCTAGAATTGCAGTTTATGTTGGAATGAAACTGCAGGGGCGCTCATGACTAGCATTGGAAACCACTCGCCTATAAAATTGTTATTGTTATTCGCATAATTCATAGCCTAAGTGTTAATTAAAATGAGGAAAGATAAGGTGGTCACCTTGGGACGAGCAATAAAGGACAGCCAAAGAAATTAACATTACTTTCCTACTTTAAGCAGATCGGACCTGCAGGTATGGTGGGTCCTCTTGTTTACGTGATTCAAATGCACCAAGTCACCTGTAGGAGGCGCCATTTCAATGGTTTAGGAGCCTGCGCAGAGATCAGGGTAGTCTCTGTGACAGGCAGAGAAATAAATGAAACACTTTATTGAACCCCGTGGGGTAATTTGTGAGTCTTACAAAACTATGAGACCTCCATATGCTCTGGATGGGGTTCTTACAGTGATGCTGAGGGCTTGCCCTGTATGAATGGGGTCATGTTTGTCTGTTTGGATGCAAGCATAGTGTACCGGACAAAAGTTTGAATCCACTTTACAAACTTGACTTTTGTGTCATAGTATTCTAATTTTAGCGAGATTTAGGCCTCTGCGTGACTTCAAAGGGTGTGTGGTGTGAGGTTAATAGCAGTCCGAAAAAGAAAAAGTTAACTCACACAGAAGAGTCTAAAATTTTGGAATTTGTAAAGCAGCCATTTTTGGCAAAATAAACAAACATATTTATTTTCTGTTTTCCAACAAGCAAGAAAGGTCAACGAGAAGCAACCCGCAAGTGCAGCACGTCTTTGGGAACTTCTACAGCTGTACTGGTGTGAACTTAATAACCGTGCAACTGCCCTTGTTGAAAAAAAAATACGTATTCTCATGTTATTATAATTATTATTAATGGTTGTTTGGCGGTTTTTTGTGAAATAATAAGTTATGTAGTATTTTCTTTATAAACGATTGTTTGAAAAAATGTGGGTGAGTCCATGCTAAACTTTTTACCGATAGTGTAAGTGCGTGGGAGTAGATGCTAGCATTTGAATGCATTTGTGTGTGTGTGTGTGTGTGTGTGTCTGCGCACGCACGTGGGTGTGTGTGTGTTTGGTTGTGTGCACATGTGGTTCCAAAAGTCACACATCTGTTCACCATTCCAGCCTCCCAGCACAGCCCAGAACTTGATTTTTCGGAATAACATTCCAACAGTGAGTTTGTGTGCATGAGAGAAAGAGAATGTGAATATGCAATGGAGTTAAAGTACAGTTACAAATCTAATGCTGTAGTCTGCAGTAGTCATCCATGACTCCAGCTTACACTCTGTGGGCTTATGGACCCTCCTACAATACACAAGCACATATGCAGACAGGCATATAAAGACACACACCCGCACACACACATACATACATACACACGCGCGCGCGCGCACACGCACGCACACACACACACACACACACACAATGTGGCAACTGAGAGAGGAGGACTGTGTGTATGTGGGAGTACAAAGAGGGGAGTTTCTGTTAAAGGTCTGACAAGCATAGAGAGTTGTCCGATTAAGGGATAAAAAGTGGCAATCCTTGGTGTGGAAAGATCACTTGTGTCAGTAGATTTGTTCTCTGAAAAAACACTGTTATTGCTATACCATTCAAAGAGGCTAACAGCCAATCAACAAAAGCCACGACCTCTGACCTCGAGCACTGCAGGAGTGACATTGTAGTCTCCCCCTGGGAGCTGGGGCAGCGTGCTTTTGTGTGTTTGTACACACAGCATTAATGCGACAGCACAGTGTTGCTTCTGTCCTGACGTGGCATTCTGGTGCGATTATACAGCGCCCTGCTTGTGCTCCGGGCACTGCTGTCATACATATGAACAGCGGGGTTATGCTGAAGTTATCCCGTTTCGCTATGTGGGCCGAGGTGACATCATTCGGACACACTGCGGGCTTGTTAACTGAAGACGCCCCTCTCTGTTGGGGAGCTCTCCCACACAGTTTGTCAAAGGGGGGGGTTGAGTGATTGGAGGAGAACGGGAGGGTGTGGGAGGCAGAACGAGGGAGAGAGAACCGGTACATAAGAAAAATAAGGGGTGAACAGGCATTTTGCCTTCCTGTGCCTGAATGAGTTTGTGGCTGTGTGTGTTTCCGTGTGTGCATGTGTGTGTTTGTGTGTGCGTGCATTTCTTTTCCCCCAATGTATTGCACTGACGATTCAAAAAGTGGCCCTATACACACTGTCTTTGTGCGGGTTGTAGCCTCTAGCCTCGCAGTTTACATGAAACAAATTGCCAATGACAGAGGTTCTGACACTCTGCAATGTTATAGCTTGAATGCTATCGTGATGTCATGTGAAATTTATCCGGCAGGCTTTACTTATCTGGCATGACGTACCCGGTATTAGATTTGGTGTGATGATGGTGCAATAGCATTATGTTACTCTGGAGAGGGATTCAGTTCCCTCTTATTCGCCCTTCGATCTCAGCGCCGTTCCAGAGTTCCGCCGGCAGACATTTCGCTGGCGTTCCCGCAGGAACGGGCTGAAGAACTGCAGTAGCCCGGAGACTGTGGGACCAGCTCGCACACACACATACACATACACACACACACTGCGGACAATGACCTCAGAGATGGAGTCATTTTATTTTCATTTTTTTCTGCTCGGCTGCCGTGTCGTTGTCCTCCCAGAGCTCATTCGCGCAACCCTGAAGTTTCACCCCCGTCCCTCTCGCTGAAAAAAGTGCTTTGTCAGTAACGAGCAGGAGCCAGAGGGTGCTAACGCACACCACGGAGGGCCTTGACCAGCTCAAGTACAGTGACGCTTGAAAGAGAAGTGTGTGTGTGTTTGGGGGACAGAGAGACGTTTGGACGTGTGAGAGGGAGAACACGGCTCTGTATGCACTGAATTCTAAAATTAAGTGTATTTCTCAAACATACATGAGTGCGTATGTACCTGCGTGTGTATATGTGAGTACTGTGTGTATTTGAGAGTGCGTGAGTGATTACATAGGTAGAGATTGAGTTCACTTTTGCATTCAAATTTTTTTCTTTCAGTCAGATAACCAGAGTATGTTTACTATTTCCATCACCTCCTCTTAGCATCAATGGCTACTTGGCTCAGCTTTCTGTTTCTCTCTTGCAAACATATGTGCACACACACACACACATGCCTGCACAGGCGCATACACACACACACACACACACACGTCTGCGCACGCGCATACACACACACACACACGCACGCGCACACACACAGACACACACACGCCTGCGCACGTGCATACACACACACACACACACACACGTCTGCGCACGTGCATACACACACACACAGACACGCCTGCACATGTGCATACAGACAGACACACACGCACGAGCCCGCACCTCCTGTAGCCCAGAGAAGGAAAGCCTGGTTGTGTCATAAATCT